TTTAGTTCACTTTGGATCCATGAACTTTATGAGATTTGTGGATTTAGTGGATGTGTGATTGATTCTTGTCTTTTGAGTGTTCTTTCTCTTGTGTTTCTTCTTGATTCCATCATTCTCCCACCTCCAAATGAGGTAAGATCTCAAATCTAGAGTTCCACCCTACATCACTTGGCTAGCAAGAGACGACAATAGGGATGGTAAAAGGACAGCCGAGCAGCTTGTTATCACAAATTCAATCACAAAACTCATGGATAATGGAGAGCAGTCCATGCCACTTGCACCAAGGTTCCCATCCTTACCCCGGTCGAGTGATGGTTGTCGCTAGAAGATGCATGGACGAAGGCCAACGCTAATGGCACACGTCCAAGATGGGGGACTAGAGTAGCTAGGTGTGGTATTGCGAGACCAGAACGATGCATTCCGAGGGGCGTGCCACTACTTCCCTTCTACCTCCAACCTGGAGCTCTCGGAAATCCTAACATCTCGGAGGGTTGTGAAGCTTTCCATGGAGATGGGCATGCCAAGGCTGGTGGTAGAATCTTTTTTCTTTTGCAGAGGGCTGGTGGTAGAACTATTTTTTGTGGGGGGGCTGGTGGCAGAACTTGATAGCAAAGATATTGTCAGTATGTTGTGTGATGTTGAGAAAAATCCCTTGACCCACTATTGAAGAAATCAACGGCCTGTTAAAGTCATTACAAGCTCCATGACCTGCGCGATATCATCACCGGCCCCTGGATGCTAGGCGGCGACTTCAACATGATTACCTTTTGCGCGGACAAGAACAACGACAACCTCAACCTTCGCACCCGATTTCGATGATTCATCACTGACCATGCCCTCCGCGACATCTACCTGCACAGGAGGAGATACACATGGTCCAATGAGCAGAACAACTCCATGTTTGTGCGGAATGATCGCGTACTTTGCACCCCCTCTTGGGCGACCATCAACCCCCACCACATGCTGCGATGCATGGCAACATCCACCTCCGACCACTGCCCTCTTGTGGTGGATTGCGCTCCCCAGATCCCTAGCAAGTGCCACTTCCACTTCGAGCGGTCTGGCCCAAACTCGACAGCTTCCTTGCCACGGTTGAAGCCGCCTAGAACTCCGGACCCTGATCTATTCCAGCGCATCTACAATAGGCTTAAATTACCGCTCGCCGCCTTCAGAGCTAGGGTGCACGCACCATGGGCAACATCACCCTGCAGCTCTAGATCACGCGCGAGATCATCTACCGTCTCGACGTGGCGCAAGACTCTAGGCCACTGGCCCCGGATGAAAGCTGGCTTTGCCGTGAGCTCAAACGGGCCTATCTTGGGTTGGCCTCCCTTGAGCGCTTCATCCTCCGTCAGCACATGTGCCTTGGCTGGCTGTGTGAGGGGGATACCAATGTGGCAATCTTCAAAATACACGCCGCCCACCACGTGTAGAAGAATCATGTGGCCAGTTTCCGTGTGGGCTCGCTGACCGTTTTTGATGAGGTGGAGATGGCCAAGGCGGCCTTCTAGCACTTTAGCTCCATCCTGGGATCATCCACCCCCAGAGACCACTCTATTGACCTCGATAGCATCGACCCGCGCCACTTCGACCCCGCGGACCTAGAGCACCCGTTCTCCAAGGAAGAAATCTATGCTGCCGTCAAGCAGCTCCCCACTGGCAAAGCGCCTGGCCCAGAGTAGTTAACGGCCGAGTTCTTGCGTGCATGCTGGCCCATCATCAAGGCCAACATCTGTGTTGCGTTTGACAAGCTCTACGCCTTGAACGGCATGGGCTTGCACAAGCTCAACGAGGCCTTGCTCGTCCTCCTCCCCACGAAGCCCAATGCGTGCGTGCTCGCCGACTACCGGCCGGTCAGCTTGATCCATCTGCTGGCTAAACTATTTGTGAAAGTCCTATCCCTCAGGCTTGCACCGGGCAGCTCGTCTCCACCAAGCAGAGCACCTTCATCGCCGGTCGTAGCATGCACGACAACTTTCTCCTGGTCCAACAAACGGCACGTCTGCTTCATAACCTAAAGACCCCGAGAATCCTACTCAAGCTCGACATTGCGAAGGCTTTCGATACGGTTTCCTGGCCCTTCCTTCTGCAAACTCTGCAACACCTCGGTTTTGGACGCCAGTGGTGCGAATGGTTGTGCATCCTCACCTCTACGGCATCCACGCGCGTCCTCATCAACGGCAACCCTGGGCCGCCGGTGGACATGCGGACTGCACCAACATGACCCCATCTCTCCATTACTCTTCGCCATCGTGATCGACACGCTAAACTCACTGCTACAGCATGCGATGTGCGCCCGCATGCTCCAACGGCTCACCACCCGGCATGTCGCGTCTAACATCTCCTTCTTTGCCAACAACGTGGTCATCTCCTGCCATCCAACCAGTTCCCAACTGGCCACAATCCACGAGCTGCTCCACGTGTTCGGCGACGCCTTTGGACTCTGCACCAAATTCCTCAAATGCTCCGCCACCCCCATCTGTTGCGGCGACGAGGTGACCACGACCATCAGCTCCACGCTCGCGTGCGCAGTCACTCCCTTCCCCATCACTTACCTGGGCCTTCCCCTTTCCATCCACAAGACCCCCTCCTCAGAGCTTCTACCATTGGTGGACAAGCTCGCGAGGAAGCTTGCAACTTGGAAGGTCACACTCCTCCCCCGCGGCGAGCGGCTTGCCCTCATGCGCCACGTGCTCAGCGCCATGCCCGTCACATCCTTATGGCAATTGCCATCAACCCAACGATCCTTAAGAAAATCATGTGCATCATCCATGACTTCTTCTGGCATGGGCGTCGGGACGCCAACTCGGGCTGCTGCTTAGTTAGTTGGTCGCGCATCTACCGCCCCCTGGAATATGACAACCTCGGCATGCATGACCTACACCTTGCTGGCATCTCGCTGGCTGTGGCTCAAAGCCACATACCCCTCGCGTCCATGGTACCACCTACAGCTCCCCCAAGATGACGAGGCAAGTCGCTTCTTCCGCGCCTCCACCTCATGGCATCTTGGTGAAGGAAGGACATGCCACTTCTGGAGCGATCACTGGCTTGAGGGGCAAGCCATCTCTGACATCGCCCCCGTCCTAGTCTCCCTTGTTCCACGTCGACGACGCCGTTGCACGTTGGTGCGCGACGGCCTCACCCAGTCTGCTTGGATTGGTGACATCCACGGTACACTTGGGCCACTGGCGATCATCGAGTACGTCAACATGTGGCGTAAGCTTCAGCAAGTCATCCTCACAAGTGAGCTAGACCGTCTCACCTGGAAGTGGGCGGCAAACGGTACCTACTCCGCCAAGTCATGTTACCAAGCACTGTTCCATGGATCAACCTCACAGCCATGTTGGAAACTACTGTGGAAGAGATGGGCCCCCAACTACAACAAAGTGTTTCTATGGCTCGCCTCCCTCGACTGATGTTGGACAGCAGAGCGGCGGATGCGCCATGACCTCTCCCACGACGCCACATGCATCCTCTGTGACCAAGAAACTGAATCCATTGATCACCTACTCATCGGCTGCGCGTTCTCCCACACCATTTGGCACGAGATACTTTCTTGGTGCCGCCTTGTTGCCCCTCCGCTGGATGGCGCAACGAGCTTCTTCACCTGGTGGTCTATGGCGTCCGAGGCCTCCCCTGGCTGCCTGAGAAAAGGCCTCAACTCCATCGTCGCGCTCCGTCTGGGCCATCTGGAAGCATCGTAATGTGGCCATCTTCGATGGCCTGCACCCCTCCACCGGCGATTTGATCACTGCTATCAAAGACGATGCTCGCCTATGGGCCAAGGCGGGCGCCAAGGGACTAGCTACCATTATTCATGTAACCTGAGCTATACCGAGGCTGAGCACCTCTCTTTCCCCTGCTCACTGCCGCACCCTCGCAAGTGCCTCTTTGTGCATGCTTGCGCGGCTGCGCCTTGTATTTTTAACAACTGCTTTCTACCCTCCTATCAATGAATTGATACGCTACTAAACGTATTCATCGAAAAGGATACAAGACCAAATGGGTGCGGAGATCGGCTAATGGGGCTGCCCACATTATAAAAGATGATTTCATGTTTCGCTGGATTGCATTCAACATGTTGTTGCGTCAGAAATTTCTGGTTATTTTGATTAAATATATACTCCCTCTGTAAAGAAATACAAAAGTGTTTAGATCACTATTTTAGTAATCTAAACACTCTTATATTTATTTACGGAGGGAGTATAAAAAAGGAAATTTCTGTTTATTTTTAATTTAAACTAGCCTTAATCAATAGAAACTCGCCTGGAAAACACACATGCAACCAGCGTTAAATAGATTTGGTCCAAGTAGCAGGATACTTCGCTGTCATCATTTTTGTATTATATCTGGCACGTTCTTATCGCATGGAGCCACAGGAATGACTTTTCGAGCTTATCACCTTTGTACAGCCTCCTGGATCCACCATCTCTTACCATTAACAGCCACTACAGCCACAGGACAACGGCGACCCCGTCGGCATTCACCCACGACAGCGACGCCCGCCGCACCAATCGGCCAGCCCGGAAAGGGGAGAGAAGAGAAAAGAGCGAGCCCACAGCGACCGGCCACTGCCCCGCCTGCCCGCCCGGCCAGGAGATCCGACGGCGGAGCCGGTGCCGCGACTCCGGGTCACCCAAGAAACCACGCGTCCGGATGCGCGCCGTGGCATCGTGTCGCGCCCGGCCCTACGGATTACGATCTCTTCGACGGCATTCGCTCCAGCAACGAGGGTGACACTGATGGACTACTGATGGTAACAATTGATAATTTGAGTTGATGCTAAGCATGCAAGAACCCGGTGGGAAATTTCCACACCAAAGAATAACCTTCGGAGAAAAGGCGGCAAGAACTTGCGGTAGAATTATATAAGCAGCGAAGCCGGCCAAGCCACTCTGGAGTAGTACCATTTCCGCGTGTATAAAAAGTCAAGAAGCTTCCCCTCTCGACGCTTGTTACTCCGATTCCAACCACCGCCGACCTCACCGCCCGGAAAATCTATGGCCTACACCTCCTCCCTCCACCTCTCCAAGCACCTCCTCCTCCCCAAGCCCAACCGCGCCAGGCCTTCCTCCTCCAGGTCGCCGTCCTTCGTCCGGGCGGCCAGGGTCGTCGACGGCGCCCCGCACGTCAACGGGCACTCCAAGAAAGCGCACAACGGCAAGGTACAGATCAACGGCGCCGGCGCCGACGGCAAGAAAGGGGCCATCAACGGCCACGGCGTCGTTAACGGCAAGACGCACGTGAACGGCCATGACCGGATCCACCTGTCGGTGACCACGGGCGGCGGGGGCCAGGACGGGACGGGCCTCCGCGTGGCGTACCAGGGCGCGCCGGGCGCGTACAGCGAGTTCGCGGCCAAGACGGCGCTGCCCGGGTGCGAGACCGTGCCGTGCCGTGCCTTCGCGGACGCACTGGCGGCCGTGGACCGCGGCCTGGTCGACCGGGCGATCCTCCCCGTGGAGTCCACCATGGAGGGCACCGCGCTGCGGAACTACGACCTCCTGCTGCGGCACGACCTGGTGGTGGCGCAGGAGATCAACCTCTTCGTGCACTACTGCCTCCTCGCCATGCCCGGGGTGCGCGCCACCGAGGTGCGCCGGGTCATCAGCCACCCCATGGCGCTCGCGCACTGCGGCCGCGCCCTCGCGCGCCTCGGCGTTGACCGCGAGCCGGTCGAGGACACGGCCGGCGCCGTCGAGATGCTGCGCTCCAACATGATGCTCGACACGGCCGCCATCGCCAGCCCGCGCGCCGCCGACCTCTACGGCCTCGACGTCCTCGCGCACGGCCTGCAGGACGAGTCCTGGAACGTCACCCGCTTCCTGCTGCTCTCCAAGCCGCCGTCGCCGGTGGCGGTCCCCGTGGACGCGGACGCCAAGACCAGCATGGTGGTCGCGCACCGGGGCGGGTCCATGGCGGTGGTGCTCAAGGTGCTCTCCGCCTTCTCCTCCCGCAACATCAACATGTCCAAGCTGGAGGTCATCAACAACGAAGCGGGCGTCGGCGAGCCGCGGCCCCCGGTGATGATCCTGGACACGGGCGCCCGCGGTGCGCCGACGCTGCGCGCGTTCCCGCACGTCCTCTACGTCGACTGCGAGGGTGCCGCCGACGACCCGCTCGTCCGCGAGGCCATCAAGGAGATCGAGAAATTCGCCGTGTTCGTCCGAGTTCTTGGCTGCTACGCCGCGGACACCAACGTCTACGATCTGCAATGAGGAGAACAGAACAGTGATCCTCCCACCATGGTACTAGTACAAGTGAAGTGATCGAATTAGCTAGTTCGGCACAATCGAATTTGGAATTGGACCTGGAAATTTCCATTCTGGTACTCGAGCAGCTGCCTCTACGTACTAGTATTTGTGTACAGATGCAATAAGGCTCTTTCTAGTACTACTCTGCTGTTTAGCTGTGTGCATAGGTGTAAGATTGCTGATGATGCCTAGTAATTAAAGGATGTGTAAGATAGCATTATCATTACTTGATTGCTGTAATTTTTTGTTGTGCTAGATCTGAGGGTAGAGTATCGCTACCCCCCTTTCTTGTGCCTCTCGGTGTTCAACTTGTACGGAGTAGAATACAGACATTGGCACATTGAAGACTGGCTGTTCTTTCCAATAGCAGAAGAAAACTATGTGTAACGATACTGGAATTTGTGCAATACTAGGATGGTGTGCTTTGTATACGAGCTGAACTGTGAAATTTGCGGTGCTTTTATACAAAAAAATACCATGTCTTGTTCTTCATTATACTATTGCTAATCTTCAGTACTCAACGACATAGGAATTTGAATCATTTTGTTCTGTTTGCTTCTCTTGGAGCATTGGCCTCGTCCAAGACTGAAGAGAACCATGATTGTGATTCGACAGAACAAAGATTCAAGATCCGACAAGGGAATCCGAATTCATGTGGAGCACTGCACAGGCCCAGAGAATCTGCAAAATCATTATTCTAGGGTTGAATTGCCTTTTTTGCAGTTACAAGTTGCCACTGGTAGCACGGGATATGTGGAGGCCCTGCTCCCTCCAGCCAGTGGCGCGTGTTTCGCAGCAGAAAGATCTGAGCAGACTTAACTTTCTCTGATAAGCGAGGGCCCTGATATAGCCCTACAATCCTCATGAACCGGGAGAGATACTATCAAATTCACCTGTGGGCTGTGGCTGAACCGGGCCTATTTGTACGACTGGCTGTACGCCCCAGAAGTGAACGGAAAACGGACTGCAGAAACTGTCTGCGCGATCGCCGAATCAAGCGAGCGCGATGGCAGGTTCAGGCCGAGATCCCCGTATCAAATGTGCGAACATTTTTCGCGCGTGGCACAGGAGAATTTGGCCAGGCTCGTTGCAGGAAATTGACGCATCGCGTCGCCGATACCCACAAAACTCCGCCAAAAATCAACCAAATTTCCACATGTGTTCCACAGTTCTGTGTTCGTCTATGAGACCACCCTATCGGTCTGCTGAAAGCTTATCATCTGCCCCTTGCAGAACGCATCTCTACCAATGGACAGTTTTGTCCACCAACTAACTGGCTCAGATCAACCAACCCCGTGCCCTGTCGGACGTGTGCGACGCATCTCCACATGGCCTGGAGCTTCAGAGTTATGAGAGGAGCGACCCCTTACCAAACTACTCCCTCCGTTCGGAATTACTTGTCTCGAAAATGGATATATCTAGAACTAAAATAGTACTCCCTTCGTTTAGAAATACTTGTCGGAGGAATGGATGTATCTAAATGTATTTTAGTTCTAAATACATTCATTTTTATGCATTTCTTCGACAAGTATTTCCGGACGGAGGGAGTAGTAATTCCGAACAAGTAATTCCATTTTCGAGACAAGTAATTCCGAATGAAGGGAGTAGTAATAATTTTTACTGGATCGTCGTGATCTCCGTTCTTTCCTGTCCCCGTCTGCACAAATTATTCAAAGCTTGCTTGCTCATCAGTTGCTCACTTGTTAACTCGGCGGCATGTGCAAGGTGTACTCGGAGTAATATCTTGGGTGGTCATGCACGGAGACGCGTGACCCCACGCTGGAATTATTTGCTTGCGCTTCCTGTGAAGCGGGAGGTGTGGTTGGGTTGGGGACCTCTAAAGATCTGAATCGTTGCTTACGCCTCATGCAAAGTGCAGTGAACCTGCATCATGCGTTCATGTGTGGTGGCCGAGTGGAGCTGTCTGAATCCCACCAAGCGGATTATCATACTTCAGATTTTTTGCGAATTCCTTTCGTATCAGATTTGAGCCATATATGATACGTTCTATTCATACAGTAGCTTTCAAGAATATATGATACAGTACATCATCAGTCATTGAACATGCTCTCTACAGCTGTCCTGCAGGAATGGAGACGCTCAAGTAATGATTCAGGTTTCAGGAAGAGAAAGGGAAGTTTCATCGAGTCTTAATCACTGACCGTTCTGCCCTGTGCTCAAGAAATTCTCAACTATCCCACTTTTTACATGTAAGCGGGCTTTACTTCAAAAGGAAGAAAAAGAAGAAAGTGTGGCAACCAAAAATAATACGGGTGCATGGCTGCATGAAGCACTTGGAGCTGGAGGGACAGAATAGTGATTGTTTGTTTGCGGATTTGTATGCCTGGTCATGAAAACGAGCCAAAACAGTCGCAAGGGTTTGATAAGTAGCGTTCCATTTCGATATTGACATCAGAAATAACCAGTCGGCAAACACCGACAAAAGGGCCCAAGCTTGTGGTGCTACCGGTGCACCAAACTCACATTATGCTTTTAAAATGTTCAAAAAATTCTAAAAAAAAAGTTAGCACACTCACACAACACTAATATAGGTTGTCACAAAATTTCAAGTCAAAATGCGAAACATAACTCGAAAAAACAAAAATGACAAATTCAACACTAAATAGTACATAACATATCTTGGGCTTTAGATTTGGCCCATTATCAAACTGATGTCAAATTTGTCATTTTTGTATCTCAAAAAATATTTTGAATTTGTATACAAAATTTTGTGACATCATACATTGATGTTGCGTTAACGTGCTAGATTTTTTTTCAGATTTTTCAAAATACTCTATAGCATCCGGTGCACCGGTAGCACCACAAGTGCGGTGCACCGGATACATTCCCCTGTGACTCACTGTCTCATTGAACACGGGTAGCACCACAGGTGCTGAACACGGGTAGCACCACAAGTGCAGGTGCACCGGATACATTCCCCTTCCCTTCCCTCCCTCGGCATACAGTTTTACTGTCTCATTGAGCTCGTCATCTCCTGTGACTCAGCGGGTTCTAGAAGGAACCCCCTGCTGGACGAACAAATAATTGGTGCAAAGCTAGGAAAGGCGATCAACATGTTATAAAGATTATGTCCCAACAGAGCACATGATGGAAGCCCGATCACATGCTCCCAATGAAGTTCATTGGTGTCTTGTGCCGTGGGGCGTTGCTATGTCACGGTCGTTAGAAGTTACAAGGCCTTGTGGGGCATACATGATAAACGGAAACATGAGCATATGGCAAGCATAAACGCGAGCAGAATCGCTTGGCTCTGTGGGGCCAAACTGGGACTTAATTTGAGCTAGAAGAAAGGTCGGGTCGGGGCACATGCGTTTGTTGGTTCTCTTGAAAATGCCAATTCGTAGCTACAGTTATAATCGTTCACGCACAAACACTGTGTGCCTTCGGCATTGAGCGCGATACGCATGATATGTTGCCGAAGGAGACACGTGAAGAACCAAAAGCTCGTTGGGACATAATTTTTTTTTAGAAAAGGAGGAATCACTCTCGACCTCTACATCTGGATGATGCATGCGGCCATATTAGTTATTATTCACAAAGACCTTACAAAGTAATACAACAGTAAACCCGAGGCCACCATCTAGACGACACATGTCGCTACTTCTATCCTCTTGATAAAGGGGTGCCGAATGTCCGAGCCAAATACCAAACAGACATCGCACGAAAGCCTAACATCTAACACCGGATGCCCCATCCAAGCCACATAGGTGGGACTGGGTAACACTCCGGTCCGGCGCACTCTCGGTGAGTACCACACGCACACGCTGCAAAGGGCCATCACCTCCGTCTCCCCTCGATCCATCCTCAAAGCATGTACTGACGCATCGACCTTGTCAGGCCTCTCTGCCATCGACGCCACCACGATGCCAGACAACGTCGACCTCCTGCACGTGTCCCTCGCCATACATCTGACTCCAAGCCTCCACTGCTCCATGCTGCCGAGAACCGCTGCCATGAATATGTAGAAAGAAACACTGCTCCACCACAGATGCGATCCGCTAGTCCCTCGAGCCCAAGTGCATCTCCAAGAATGTTGCCCCCAAAGGGGTAATGAAACATGAATGCCGCCGTCATCCGATCAACTGATCTAGGGTTTTCCCTAGAGGTATTGGATGGGGTTGGGAGCTTCACCTCGATGATGCCTTCATGAAGGAAACGATGATAAGGGCATCGTCATTGAGGGAGTCCTGGATTAGGGGGTCCTCAGACAACCGGGCTATATGCTTATGCCAGACTGTTGGACTATGAAGATACAAGATTGAAGACTTTGTGCCGTGTCCGGGTGGGACTCTCCTTTGCGTGGAAGGCAAGCTTGGCAATTCGGATATGTAGATTCCCTTCTCTGTAACCGACTCTGTGTAACCCTAGCCCCCTCTGGTGTCTATATAAACCGGAGGGTTTAGTCTGTAGGACGAGAACAATCATAATCATAGGCTAGCTTCTAGGGTTAGCCTCTACGATCTCGTGGTAGATCAACTCTTGTAATACCCATATCATCAAGATCAATCAAGCAGGAAGTAGGGTATTACCTCTATAGAGAGGGCCCGGACCTGGATAAACATCGTGTCCTCCGCCTCCTGTTACCATTAGCCTTAGACGCACAATTCGGGACCCCCTACCCGATATCCGCTGGTTTTGACACCGACATTGGTGCTTTCATTGAGAGTTCCACTGTGTCGTCACCATAAGACTTGGTGGATCCTTCAATCATCTACAACGATGAGGTCCAGGGTGAGGTTTTCCTCCCCGGACAGATCTTTGTGTTCGACGGCTTCGCACTGCGGGCCAACTCGCTTGGCCATCTGGAGCATATCGATAGCTACGCCCCTGGCCATAAAGTCAGGTTTGTAAGCCTGAACTACACTGCCGACATCCGCGGAGATTTGATTTTCGACGGATTCGAGCCCATGACAGGTACACCCTACAGTCGCGATGAGCATGAC